TTAAGAGTAAGAAATTGATCAATCACAGTCGAATGTGAGAAGAATAATCGACTGTGATTGGTCAATTTCTTACTCTTATTTCTTACTCCGTGTATTGTAGATTGGCCTTTAGAGGCCCAGATAACAGAAATGCGACATTGAAGGGTATGGTTTGATTGGCTGTCTAAATCACATGATCAGAGCGCCATTTTAATTCATTACTGCGAATAGAAAGAAGAGCTATATTGTGCAAGAAATGCAGCTAAAAAGAACAGATCGTTGACTCGGAGTCGGGTCGAGTCAGTAAATCGAATACGCTATAATATTGTATGTACGTATAATGTATACACTATTTAAGTACATACTATAAGTACGTACTATACTTTCTTCTTTTTATAACAATTTAACTTTCCTCATGTAATGCATCAGCTGTCATTAGCTTATAAAAGTGCATTTTCATGCCGACGCTCGACGCTCGTTTTCGGCGTCAAAATAAGTCACGTGATAAAAATTGGCGAATATCAAGCGTCAATTTTGAGATCTTGCGATTTATTTTGACGTTGAAAACAGCTGAAAACAAGCGTCGAACGTCAGCATGAAAAGACACCTTATGGTTATAAGTACTTACACTGAATTAAAATGGCGAAGAGGACCTAATGCTGGATTCACACTGCATCCGATTTGCGTTGTACAACGCTCTGCAACCAATTAGAAAACAGGATTCCGATGGATTTTGCTTCGTATCATCAGAATTCTGTTTTCTGATTGGTTGAAGAGCATCGTACGACGGATCGGATGCAGTGTGAATCCAGCATAACTCAACCGACGCAATGTCGCATCTTTGGTATATAAGCCTCTAATATCAGTGAATACTAAAAATTGACATTAATTCTCTAACGTTAAAACTTTATAGAAAAAAAATATTAGCATTAAGAAAGCTAGAAAATTTTTCAATTAAAAAAAAGTTAATAAATTAAAGCTTAAAAGTAACTAAATTAAGTTAAAAATTAATGCATTTAAAATTATCTAAGTTAAGTAAATAGTTATTAACTTTTTAAATTTTTTTTTAACTTTCAACTAGTTACTATCCACCAACATTGCGAGCCACTATTGTCCAAATTCCGTGTTAGGCGAAAGATTTGAAAGCAACCTGAACGTCGGTGATCCTGGGCCGAATTCATCTAGAGGTACGATACCGCGGAATGAATCACGACAGGCAGGCAAGCGACGGAGGAGGTCTCTCCAAGAAAAAATAGATGCAATTAACAGAGTACGTAATGGAAAATCGAAGGCTGCTGTGGCACGCGATATTGGTGTGCCAGAGTCAACTCTGAGAGGATGGTGTAAGGCGGAAAAAAAAATAATTTGTCAAAATAATAAAATACAAATCTCGAGAATAGTGTCAGGAGTACAGCTTGAGCTATACAAACAGTATATTCTGAGATCGAGTTCTGATAGTAACAATAGTGGAGCGGGTGGTTCTTCATCAAGATCGACACCAACGACCCAAGCCACGATGTTGGGATTACCATCGACTTCTGGAGTTACCAAGAGAGCTGAGGAGTTTGAGGCCGGTCCGTCCTACAAAAGAATAAAACTCGAGAATAGGAACAACAACACGGTGAGCAATATAACGACGTTAGCGCTGAATATGCAACAGCAATGGCAACAAACTAACAACACGCAACTTAACTGGAATAAAAAGAAACATAGTGCCCCAGGACTCACGTCAACCATGGACATCCCGAAACCATCATTGAGGACACAGAACAATCAATCATCGAATACGGAAAAATCGTCCGAGACCGGGAGCGTCTCTCACTGAACTTGTGAAATCTCCATGCCATCAACGTCGACGAGCAGCAGTGATACAATCGCAAACGTTTCTCAATCAAAAACGGTAAAAGTCTTACTAGTATAGAAGATAGTCTTCACTATCCACATGTACCGCCTCCGAATAGCGTAAAAGAAGTGATATTTGATGCTGTGAATAATAATAACGACAATATAGACGACGAGACGACTTCCGTTTCCGGTGTGCAAAGAGATAATAGGAGATAGGAAAGTTGGACAGAGCAGAGAGCGAGATTAGAGTGAGAGAATGGAGTGAGTGTGCGTTGGTAGGCGTAGGTGAGAAAGGGAATGGAGGGAAGGTGGTGAGAGTGGGGGAGAGGTGGAGGAAAAGGTTAGTGACAGTAGAGAAGGGAGAGAAGTGAGGGAGAGGTTAGGGGACGGAGATAGTATTGGGAAAAGAGGAGAGGGAGTAAGTGTGTTCGGTTTTCTGGAGAAAGACGGTTCGAGAAGGAAAGGCTGTTCGAAAGTGAAGGTGAAAGGTGAGAGAGTGAGAGAGAGAGGGGGGGAGGGAGGAAGGGAGGGAGGGAGGGAGGGAGAGAGAGGAATAAGGAGAGATAACGGAAAGAATCATGAAGTTGAAAAAAGATAGAAGGGGAAGTACGGGGGAACTGGCGAAGTTCATGAAGAGGACGAGGGAAGGGGAGGGGGGAGAATCGGAAGATAGGAAGATGAAAGAGGTTTTTAGAAGCAGCAAAAAGACGTTGTGATCACCTGTCAAAATGGGGGACGAAGGAGAGATGAAAGAAATATTAAAGGAATTAAAGGAATTAAATGAAATGAGAGTGGAAATGAGAGAGGGCTTGAAGGGAATGAGTAAAGAGATAAGAGAGGTAGCGGAGGGACAAAAGGAATGGATGAGAAAGGAAATGGATAAAGTAAAAGAAGAGTTAAAGGTGAAAGAAGAAAAATGGCAGAGGGAAAAGGAGGAAATGTTGGAGAGATTAAAAGCGTTAGAAGGGGAATTGGGGAAAATGAAGGTAGTGACAGGAGAAAGAAAAGGAGAGGGAGGAAAAGAGAGGGAGGGAGGGAAGGTAGAGAAAGGAGAAGGAAAGGAAATTTGGATGGAAAGGATAAGAAGATTGGAGAGAAGGAGTGAATGGAGAGAGAGAGAAGAGAGAGAGAGAGAGAGGAGAGGAAAAGAAATGTAGTGATAAAAGGAATAAAGGGGGGAGAGGGGAGATAGAAAGGAAAGTTAAAGAGATATTAGTAAGTATAGAAAGGGGGGTGGTGGTGGAAAAAATAAGAATGATAGAGGTAGGTAGG